TAGTATAGTCACATTTTTCAACTGTCACCAGAATCTAATTTTAGAACATTTTCATAATTTTGAAAAGAAACCTTGTAGCCTTTAGCAGTCTTTTCCCACCTCTACCCCCCTGCAGCATAGAACCTCTCAGATCCTTTCTGCTTCTATAGATTAGATTATTCTGAATTTTTTCATGTAAGTGGACTAATAGGGTATGTGGTCTGTGACTGGTGTCTTTCACTTAGCACAATGTTTTGAGGTCCCTTCATGCTGTGACATGTATCAGTACTTTATTTCTTTTCATTTCCAAATAATATTACATTGTTTGGATACGTCACATTTTATCCATTTATCCATTAATGAACATTTGTTTTCCCCCACTTTTTGGCTATTATGAATAATACAACTGTGAACATTTGTGTACAAGATTTTGCAGAGACAGATGGCTTAATTTCTCTTGGGTATGTACCCTAGAATGGAGTTGCTGTTTCAGATTGCAACTCTATGTTCAACTTCGTTTTTGAAAGATATTTTAGAAAATTATGTATGGATGATTTTCCAGCACCTATGGTTATAAGAATATAAAAATTTTACTTTTAATCCTATTGACAAATTGCCTTATATGGATTTACAGCTAAAATTTCCAAATAGAAAACAACTTAATTTCCAAACATTAAACAATTTTAGAATACACTATACTTAATCATCATGGATTATTCTTTCGATGTTCTGGCAAAACTGCTAGTTAGTATAGTTTTTAGGATCTTTATTTCAATATTCATAAGTGAGACTAGTTTGTAGGGTTTTTTTTCCTTTTTTTTTTTTTTTTTGGACAACGTTCATTATCAATCCCTCTTACTCTATAAGAGAAAGAATTTTGAAGATTTCCTTTTATTTCTGCATTCCAGAGAGTTTGAGATAAGTGCTCCTTAAATGTTTGGGAGATTTCTCTTGTAGAACTATCAGGGCCTGGTGCTTTTTTGAAGAGGTGATTCTTTGACAGCTCTACTCTTGAAATTGGTATGTTGATATTTCCGCTCTTCTGTGGCAATTTTGGTAATTTCTATGATGATGATGTTGATGATGATAAAAATACTAAAGTTGGTTCTGTAACAGTCAAATCAAAGCCTCTGACTGTAAAGATAGTATCAAGATCACAGGGTCCCATGAATCATACAATATAGATCAATTAGATGGCTCTTTTTTACATTTGCCTTCTTTGATTCCATCTAATGTATATTTGACATTCATTTATATTGTTGCCTAGTGGGGATAATCTTTGAATAATAGTTTGTTTCTTGTTACTGGGGAGTAAATAATTCGTTGTACATATGTACCACAATTTATTTACCCATTCACTTGTTGACGGACATCTGAATTGCATTAGTGGTCTTATAAAAGAGCTTGAGGAAAGAACCCTGGTCCTCTTGGGGCTTTCTACCATGGGAGGGTACAGAATTCATCCCTTTATGCCCTTCTATCTCTTTCATTATATGAGGACACCCATATAGCTCCATCTTAGAGAAACATGACCTCACCAGACACTGAACCTGCCAGCCCCTTGATGTTGGATTTTCAGTGTTTGGAACTGTAAGCAATAACTTTTTTTGGGTGCGGGGGGTGGGGGCCGTACTGGTGATTGAACTCAGGGGCACTCACCACTGAGCCACACCCCCCTCCTATTTTGTATTTTATTTAGAGACAGGGACTCACTGAATTGATTTGCCCTTTGCTGTTGCTGAGGCTGGCTTTGAACTCGCTAACCTTCTGCCTCAGCCTCCTAAGCCACTGGGATTACAGGTCTGTGCCACTGGCCTGGTTGTAAGCAATAACTTTCCATTATTTAAATAATACCCAGGGCAAGGTATTTTGTTTTGGCATTAGGAACTAAGACAGGTTTTAATTTGCATTTTCCTGATGACAGATGATTTTGGATGAGCATTTTCTCATATGATATTTGTATATCTTCTTTTGTGATATGTATATTCATATCTTTTGCCCATTTTTTGGTTGGGTTGTTTGTCTTTTTATTATTGAGTTGCAGGAATCTTTATTCAGAGTGCAAGTCCTTGTTTATATAAGATATGTGAGTGTGAGTGTGTGTGTGTGTGTATGAGAAAAATGAAACGTCTCTTCCTAGTCTGTGGCTTCCCTATTTTCTTGATATGTGTATTTTTTATGAACATAAGTTTTAAATTAAAAAAAATTAGTTGTAGATGGACACAATACCTTTATTTTATTTATTTATATGTGGTGCGGGGGATTGAACCCAGTGCCTCATGCATGTAGACATCGTTCCACCACGGAGCCACAAACTTGGCCCAAGTTTTACATTTTGATGAAGTCTATCTATCAATTGTTTTTAGGGTCCATGCTTTTTGTATCCTTTCTAATAAATCTGTGCTTATCCTAAGACTGAAAATATATTTTTTTCTAATAGTTTTATATCAATTTACTAAGGTCTCTGAACTGTCTCTTAAATTGAATTTTGAATGTGGTGTGAGGTAGGGATTTGATCCCTTCTCTGTCTCTCTCTCTCACACACACACAAATTCTGATACCATTTGTTGCGCCTTTGTCAAAAATCAATTAGATGGCTCTTGATACTTTTCCAAAATTGAATATCCCACGTAAAAATGTGCTTGCATTCTGTATAGTCTTTATCTTCTCAAAGTGGTATTCAGACCAACAGCATCGTTTGGGAGCTTGTCAGAAGAAATACAGGGTCGGGCTCTGCTCTGACCCCACATAAGCGCCCGGTGATTCACAGAAACATTTCATTTTGAGGAGCACTGGTGTAAGTATTTTTTTGAGGAACGACGGGAAATATCTTCATGACATTTGCTGCCTCTTCCAGACTCCCCATGCCCTGCAGGCTTCGAGGTCCTGTCGACTCATTTCCTCTCTGTGACATGCTCTACTTACTCCTAGATTGAATCTCTGGGTCCACCCCTCCCAATACGTGCGGCGTCGTTCTCTGTTCCTTGGGTTGAGGGAAGGGGACACACCCCCTAGCCCACTCCTCACTCTAATATCCTCGACCACCTGCTCATTCACCCAGCAGTTCCTGTTCTCTCCATACACATCCTTCCACCCCTGAGACTCAGTTTCCTCAGTTGTAGAGCCAAAATAATGATGKTCTCTATCTCTCAGATGCTAATGTGATGTGAACTGACCTGAAGAGCACCTGGGGCACCGAGTCAGCAGAGAAGTCGGGGGTCATCACTGCCATTTCAGAACTCACCCCAGGAGAAGCCCCTGGACTCTAGTCGCCTTTTCCACGCAGCCCCACCCCCTACACCCAGGCGGTATCCAACCCGCCTTCTTCCCAGCGCGGTTTCTCCCTCCCTTCTCCGCGCCCCCAGGGTAGCGAGCACCGATAAATCTTTCCCAGCACGTTGCATTGTTACAGCGAGTTGCCCTCGCGTCTGACCGGCCCCCCGCCCATGCTTGGGTGTTCTTCAAATCCAGCCTCTCTTGCCTTGATCGCCTTTGAAGCCCCAGCCCCTGGCACAGTGCCTGGCACTTGGAGGGCGCTCAATAAATGTTTGCAAAATCGGAATCTCTGTGGAGCAGGTGTCCACCCCTCCACTCGCAGGGAGCGGGGTGCGTGCTGGCGGTGCGGGCGGAAGGGAGGCTGGCTGCGTGCCCAGGCGGTGGCTCCTCGGGCTCGCGGAGGCGGAGGGGAGAGGGGAGGGGTCCGAGGCTGCGAGCGGCGCCTGGGCCGCGGGGCCGCGCTGCCACACGCCGGGGCCGTCCGCGCCCCGCCCCTCCCGGCCCCGCCACGCCTCCGCCGCTCTGCCGCCCCCGCCCTCGAGGCCAGCGAAGGGAGGGGCCCGCGAAGGCGGAGCCAGCGGCGGCCGAGGCTCGGGGCTCCCGCGCGGCTCTCGGTCACCGAGCCGAGATCCTGGCGCGACAAGGTAGGAGGCGGCGCGGGCAGCAGACAAGGGAGCGGGCGCGGCGGAGGGAGGGTGGGCACAGACCGTCCCTCGTGTGCCCCAGAGCCTAGCGGCCCACTGGGCCCCCAGCTGCGGGGCTCTGTCCCCGGCCCGCCGTCCCCAATCTGCCTTCTCCCGGCTCCCACACCCCGTGCGTCCTGTTCCATCTTCGCCGCTCCGCATCCTCCGAGCGACCCCCGGATTTCTCTCCGCTCCCTGTCCGTCCCACAGGTTCCTTTGGAAAGCGAGCTGGAGTCTGTGCTTAGCCCCCTGGGAGAGTAGGGGGGCCGCAGCGGGAAGCAGCCAGGGGGTGAGTCCGGAGTGGCGGGGAGGGGGCTGGAGGGCCTGGGTACCATTCTTCTGCCTCTTAGTGTCACTGGTGCTCAGCGCAGCGGGCTGGCTCCATGTTTGCAGAATGAATGAATCATGACTCTCCTTGTCCCCTTCTGAAAGAGGACTTTTTGAGGTCCACGTGCTGCAGAGTACCCTGGGGGGGCCTCCTGAGATAGAGCCCCCCCTTCCAGCGTAGTAGAAACCCGACTTTCATTTCTCCGCCTCCTCTCTGCGTTCCATTCTGGAGGCTCCCTCTGGGTTGGGGCTTGGGGGTGGGGAAGTTAAGAGGGGGGCGCTTGTAGGCCCAGCTCGGTACTTGTTGAAGAGGGTGTTGCTGCAGGGGACTTGAGAGAGGCCTCTGAGAAGGTAGCGGTGCAGAGGGAGCTGCTGCTGGGAAGAGCACCTGCTGTCAGGCCACCCCCAAAGCCAGCCTGGAAGAGCCAATCWGGGCCACAAGTTACTTTCGGAACCCCTCCGAGCTTCTATTTCTTGATCAGTAAAATGGGAACATTAGTATCCATTCCTGAGGGCTTTATGCAGATTCAGAAAAATGGATATGCAATTACCCAGCAGAATGCTCAGCACTGGGAACATCCAACACATCTTAGTTTTCTTTCCTTCCTCTCTGAAAAAAAAGTGAGCAGAGTTTTTGATCCTTCTAACCCCAAATCGGTCATAACAGACCTAGATGATGTATAATCACTGGTAAGTGAATGTGCTACTCACCTGCAAACCCCCCTCCCCAATCTGCAGGGAGACCTGGACCTGCCAGGCACAGGCATGCCGGTGCTATCAGAGGACTCGGGTGAGTGCCCCCACCCGGCCTGGGCTGGCCACAGCCCTGGAGACAGGAGCCTTCCAGGCAGCCCGAACTGGAAAGAGACCAGGCTATGCTGGTGTGGCTTCTAGAAGCTGCCCTGCCTGCAAACCCAGGGAGGTCCTTAGGGCAGGGATGAAGTGCTGTCTGAGGGTCCAAAAACAGGGTCCTCAGGGGCAGGAAGTCCCCCCCCCCTATTTGTTATCCCTTCTTTTTCTTACTCCCTCCTCAGGTTTGCATGAAACCCTGGCACTCCTGACCTCTCAGCTCAGGCCTGACTCCAACCACAAGGAGGAGATGGGTTTCCTGAGGGACGTTTTCAGTGAGAAAAGCCTCAGTTACTTAATGAAGGTGAAGTTCTGTCTGGGCATGCCTTCCCTGAGGGAGGGTTTTCCTGGCTGCCTGCGGCCCTTGAGATCATTGGAGCTATGTCCTTGCTCCAGGAGCATCTTCACCAGCCCACTAAGCTACCCCTTCTTATATGCTACCCTGTTGGTGACCTAGACTGACCTAGTCCTTGGTGTCCTCACAGCCATGGGTGGGGAGTATGGTATCCAGGGTAAACTGGAAATCAGGTGTCTTTGCAGATTCATGAGAAGCTTCGATATTATGAGAGGCAAAGTCCAACCCCAGTCCTGCACAGCGCAGTGGCCCTGGCAGAGGATGTAAGTCCCAAGTTTTTCCTTATGGTATCAGCTGCACTCCCCATCTTGTAGAGCTCTTTCCTCTTCCTTGGTCACCATTGCTTAGCCTAGGGACATGGGGGATCAGGAGCCCAAAGTTGAAGAGGCATCTCCCCACTTCCTCCTCTTCCTCTTCCATGGGCCTCCTGGCAGGTGGGGAGGAACTCATGAGCCTTGGACTGGGCCAGGAGACATGGTGACATGGTGACGCCTACTTACTGTGTGTCTGGAGCAAGCCTGTTTCTCAGCTGTTGGGTGACAGCATTGGAGCAGAGCAGCAGTTCCCCGCTGTTCTGAGAACTGGGGATATGAATATGTCAAATAAGCACCCTGTATTTGTGCTTCAGGAGGCCAACATGAAGTCCCAAGGTCAAGGGACTTGTAATGTGTCCCTACTAAACAGCTCAGGCTTCTTATGCTTCTCAATTTATTGCAGTCCTGGTCCTTGGGTTGCATGGGGAAAAACTGTCCTGGTTGATGACTAAGATCATCAGCTCTGAAATGACTCACCTGACCCCAGGAGCTGGCCCTGTGCAGCCTTCTGACTGTGTCAGGATCTATATCCCCCCTAACTGTCTCCTCTCTGGAGTGTGATTAATAGCATGTTAGATCACTCAGTGCTCAGGCTCAGCACTGCCTTTACCACTAGCTCTGTGACCTTAATTTAAATAAGTCAACCAACTTCTCTGAACCACATTTTCCTCATCCATAAAAGCATAGCAATGAAGGTACAGACAGTCAAGGCCAGGTTCAAATCCTGGGTGACATGTGAGGCTTGTGACCTTGGGCAAGATAATCTATCCAGGCCTCAAAGTCTCACCTGTTAAATGGCAAAAGTGTACCCACTGCATCTAGTTTGTTGCAAGGGTTAACTGGGGAGATGCACATAAAGCAATAGCATACAGTAGGGGCTTACTAAGTCAGCCCCTAGTAGGATTGCTTCTAGACCTGCTCAGGTTCTCCTGATCCCTGCGTGCCTCAGTCCTGGGCTGGTTGAAGGTCTGATGTGCTCCTGGGTGCTGCAGCTGTTTGGGGGTTGGGGGGGACTGGGTTTTCCCTGCGGGACTCCCCACAGCCTCAGGCAGGGGCACCCCAGCCTGCTGTGGTGTTCCCTCTCACTGTCTTACAGGTGATGGAGGAGCTGCAGGCTGCCTCTGTGCACAGCGATGAGCGGGAGCTGCTGCAGCTGCTGTCCACCCCCCACCTCAGGGTAGTCATGCCGCAGTCCCTGGCCACCCACGCATCTCCTGTCTCCTGGGATGGGGGCGGGAGGGAGCTCTGGGTCCTGAGGGGTCCTCAGCACTGGTGTCTGGGGTGAGAGGCTCTGTGGCCTGAGATCTGAGGCCCCCTCAGCCCCTTTCCCCTGACCCCTGTGAACTCTGGGGCCAGCCCTTCTTTTCTCTTGCTTCCCGACAGGCTGTGCTCATGGTCCATGACACAGTTGCCCAGAAGAATTTCGACCCTGTTCTTCCCCCTCTGCCTGATAATATTGATGAGGATTTTGATGAAGAATCAGTGAAGATTGTCCGTTTGGTGAAGAACAAGGAACCCCTGGTATGTGGTGTGCATCTCTCGTCCCTGCCCTTTCTCTGCACCTTATCCCCACCCAGAAAATTGTGAAGGGACCTTCCTGACATCCTCAGGGTTAGTGATGGCTGCTTCATCATGCAGGGTTACTGCCAGTGTCCAGGGCACCCCTTTTCTCTGAGTGGATACAGCTCCCCCCSAACAACTGTGGCCAGTCCACTTTGTGCAGGAAACAACCTACACATCTGTATGGCATGACCCTGATCATTATGCCCTGAACCAGAAGTTGTCAAACTCAGCCCAAGGGCCAAACCTAACTCATAGCTTATTTTTATACTTTTTAATTTTTCTTATCATGGTTGTGCTTATTCATACCAGTGGCAGAATTGAGTGGCTGCATCCAAGATTGTGTGGCCCCCAGAGCCTAAGATACTTATATTTGGTCCTTTACAGAAAAAGTTTGCAGTTCCCTGCTCTGAATTATGAGGTAGCCCAGGGCCCCATCCATTCCTCCAGCTGACAGTTATCTTGCTCCTGGTTCAGCACTGGTTCACCAGCAGAGGGACAGGGTTGTTTATCAGATGGAGGGAAGTGGAAGTCCACAGCATTGAGGACCTGCCCTACAGAATACCACAGCTTCCATGCTCAAGTTTCACTTTTCACCCACTGACCTGTGGCGAAACATATCTGCAACAGGCAAAGGTCTTTTCTTTGCCTCTATTTGCTCATCTGCACAATGGGGCCATCAGCATGGACTTGGTAAACATCCTGGGAGCCCTCCTATGCAGCCACTGTGCCGGGGGCTGGCAGTTCAGAGCTGAATAATTGATGGAGTGCTGGCAGGTCTAGGGACAAGAAGAGAGAGGTACTTACTTAATGGATGGCTTCTCTTGTCAGCAAGAATGATCTGCTGTAATTCAGATAGGTGACATGAATGAAATTGATACTAAGTGTACAAATGTGTCTATGGGTACAGCCGATAATAAGTGGTTAACATTTATTGAGCACTTACTATGCACTAAGTGTCTTGCATGCATTCCCTCCTGGAATTCTTGCAACAACCCTGTGAGTTAAATGCTCTCCCATATGACAGAGGCTCAGAGAGGATAAGGAACCTCCTTGCTAATGCCACATGCTTATTTTGGTCAGTGGCCAAGCTGTGTTCAAATCTAGTGTTCTCAACTCTCCACCTCACTCTTGCCCTGGCACAGTCCAGCTCACCTAGGCAGGAAATCAAGGCTCATTAGAGCCTTTCACATCCTAGATGTCATCTCTACTGAGCTTCATGGTCCAAGTCCTGGTCCTGAAGCTCTGGTGGAGGCCTGATTGGTTTCTCTTGGCAACAACAGAAGGAGGCCCAGGAACACTGTGATTTGTTTGAGGCAGGTTGAGAATTTGCTGGCACATGTTGTCCTCATTATAAAGTGTCTTTGCGAGTGGCAAGGGCCGCGATGTGATAGAGAAAGCTCTGGATTCAGTGTCAGAAAAAGCTTTCCATCTTTCTGTCTGTGTGACCTTGAGGATGCTTAACTTTTCTGAACCCCAGTCCTTCATCTAAAAATATCACAGGGTAATCGTGCTTTGTAAATTGGGAAGTGTGGTGCTATACTAAWGGGAGATGTTGGTTTTATTGAATCCTAGCATTGGGAAGGTCCCAATGGCAGGTGGCAGGATAGAAGAGGCAGTGGGGCCCAGAGGGTTGAGGTTGAGGGTTGGGGCTACCTCTTAGGAGCCTACCTGTCTGTCTCCAATGCAGGGTGCCACTATCCGGCGGGATGAGCACTCGGGGGCTGTCGTGGTGGCAAGGATCATGCGAGGGGGTGCAGCAGATCGGAGTGGTGAGTGCAGCAACATGCTGCCAGCCTGGCTGAGGTGGCGGCCATTGTCCCAGAGCCTGCCCCTTTGCTCCCCTGGCTCTCCCTACCTCAGGTCTTCTGTTTGGGGTGCGCTTTGCTTTGGGGAGTAGGGCTGAATTCCGTCTCCTTCCCAGGCCCAGTAGAAATTTTAATTGAAAACACAACCGGCCTGGGGTCCTCTGGGGCAATCAGGAAAGGTCTCATATGTTGGCTTAGTTAAGCCCACAGCATGGGCTTGCAGGGGGGTTCCTGAAAGGAGCCAGGCATGGCATTTCCTGCTACCTCCAGTTGCCTTGTCCAGCTGCTCTTACTCAGGGGAGAGTGTGCATGTCCACATTTGTTTGGGTGGAGAACAAATTGAGAATCACTGGTGTGTGGAAGAACTACTGAGCTAGGAGGTGAACCCTGGGGTAGGGGGATCATTGTGTTTAAACTCTGGGGGATCCTCACTGTGGAGAGTCCTGGACTAGTGCTTGCCATATGAACCCCCTGAGCATTGGGGTGACATGCAGACACTGAGTCAGGAGTGTGCACTTCTGACCCTTCCTAAGTGCTGCTGCTGGCCACTGCCCACTGGGAACAGCAAATAGGGTCTGAATATGCAGGGACACTTGTCATTAAAGCAGAGGCAAATAAATGGCTGTATCTAACATTCTGATGAGATCTTTGTTGTGTCCTTTAAGTTTCCTTGTTAAGATTTAAGAAGGCARCTAGGCACGATGGCACATGCCTGTAATCCCAGTGGCTCAGGAGGCTGAGGCAGGAGGATGGAGAGTTCAAAGCCAGCCTCAGCAATTTAGTGAGACCCTAAGCAACTTAGCAAGACCCTGCCTCTAAATAAAACAAAAAAGGGTTGGAGATGTGGCTCAAGCGGTAGCGCGCTCGCCTGGCACGCGTGCGGCCCGGGTTCAATCCTCAGCACCACATACAAAGATGTTGTGTCCGCCGAAAACTAAAAAATAAATGTAAAAAAAAAAGTAAAAAAAAAATAAAATTTAAGAAGGCAGTTCTTGGGGTGTGTCTATAGCTCAGGAAGTTGAAGAATTAATGATATCTTTAAAGAAGAAGAGGTGGCGGTAGAAGGAACACAGCTTTCAATACCAAAATAATAGTGTCTGCATACTGGCTCCATCGTTTCTTAGCAGGGTGGCCTTGGGTAAGCTGTTTTATCCTCCTGAGTCTTAGCTGCCCGCTTGTACATTGTGGATGTCACCCAGTGACCATGAGACTTTGATGCTGAGCGCCTAGCACTTAGTAGGATTCAGTGTGTCCCAACTCTGTGCACTGTCTGCAAACCTTGAGCCTGCCTTGCAGTACGTTCCTCAGTGCCCACAGCTCCAAACTCCTGGGCAGAGGCCCCTTCCTGTCCTGATGGTCAGTCCCTGTGTCTCCTAGGCCTGGTCCACGTTGGAGACGAGCTCCGAGAAGTGAATGGGATCGCAGTCCTACATAAGCGGCCTGACGAAATCAGCCAGATTCTGGTCTGTTTTGCTGCACTATGCTGCTGGGATATTGGGGGTGGTGGTGGCTTCAGAGACCTAGAACAGGTTGCTTCCCAGAGCCAGGGCAGATTCTAGCTCAGCCTCACTGTTTTCATGAGGAGGTAGCAGGCAATGTGGCCTTACAGTGTGCCCAGATGTTGAGGGGTGAGGTGGGGCTGGGAGACAGCCTGGCAGGCTGTGCCCTCATCTGACAGCATGCTTCCCTCTGGGTTTCTGGCTCTGGGGACAAGGTCTCTGTCTGGTGGGAGGGAAGGGGACCTCCCAGAAAGGTGGGAATGGCGGCAGAGACCTGTCTGGGGAGATGGAAGCAAAGAGGGAAGTACTAATTGGGGAACAGCCCTAAATCAGGCAGGAAAGAGGAAAATAAACCTAAAGTAGGTTATTAAAATGGCCCATGAGGAAAGCAAGATGGGGAGCTATTAGGGCCCAAGAGGCCACGAACGGGAAGATTGGGATTCAATGTATRTCATGCCCTTGGGTTCTCATTTAAAATCTCCCTGTGTCCTGTGAAAATTTTTGAGTTTTGCCTTAGTTAATTTGGGGCACCAACCTAGAAGGGTGGGCTGCAGGGAAGAAGGTCATGAGTCTGACTTCCATTCTGTAAGTCAGTTCTTAGAACTGGGAAGGGAGACTGGAGCTCATGGGAGGTCAGACCTGCAAGGAAATCGGCCTCTGTTCCCTCTCCCTTCAGGCCCACTCCCAGGGATCCATTACCCTCAAAATCATCCCAGCCACCCAGGAAGAGGACCGCTTCAAGGAGAGCAAGGTAGGGGGAGGTGGGCTCCTGGAGCATGCTCTGCTAGGGGCAGGGTGGGTGTGCTGGACCCAGGCCAACGTTTTGACAGTCACTGGGAACAGATTGTGCGCCTAGTTGAGTAACCTGTGCCCAGCAGAAGACTTTAATTCAGTTACAGGGTGATTCATTTGTTTGTACCYTGCCTCTTTTTCAACTGGATCTGTCGCAGGTTGGAAATAAAAGACAGGGTTACTTTAATTGAAATAGAAACTCAGGGCCATCAAGAGAAGGAGAAGGTACTAAATGTGCTGGATTCTGGACCAATGAAGTAATTGCCATTTATTTGATTATTTGAGAGCCTACCTGTGGAGGTCACCTCCTCTTTGCAGGGCACTCTGCCAAATGCTGGGGAAAGGGACAATGAGTAGCTTTAAGGGTTCCTAGTGCAGAAAGGGAATCCGGGGAGTATATTTAATTGGCATGTGACAAGTGCTTTGGGAAGAGTCTGACAGAGTTAGAGGCACCTTGGAAAGGTCACAGTGTGGAGGTTCTGGGGGCGGGGCTGGAGGAGGGTGAAAATGACTAGGGCTTTGGAGGGAGGGTCAGGCAGAGGGGTCTGCTATACAGGAGCGCCATGATGTTGTGGTGGGGAGCATGTTTGGGGAATGATGGGGCTCAGGGGCAGGGTGGCAGTGGGTTTTGCTGGGAATGCAAGTTAAGCTTGTGTGAATGGCCTTGAATGCTTTGTGAATGGTTTTGGCATAATTCCTGCTTCATGTGAGCACCCTTAGAAGCTGACCCTGAGCCTGGAATCCCAGGTACTCCTGAGGCTGAGGCAGTAGGAGTGCAAGCTTGAGGCCAACCTCAGCAACTTAGCGAGACCCTGTCTCAAAAATAAAATAAAAAGGGGCGAGGGATGTGGCTCAGTGGTTAAGTGCCCTTGTGTTTAATCCCTGGTCTCTCTCTCTCTTTTCTCTCTCTCTCACATAAACACACACACACACACACACACACACACACACACACACACGCTAACTCTGACAAGGATTTAAATGCAATTTTTGTGTGTGTGTGTGGGTGGGAAGTGACCCCAGGAAACTCCAGTGAGGGGGTGGGGAAAGGAAGGCCACCAGTCTGACATGGGGTATGTTACTCAGCAAGTCACCACTGTGGGCAACCAGAGCTTAATCCGGCTGGGGAATTCAGGGATCCCCTGTAGAATACATGCTTCTGTCATCCAGCTCAAGTGCCCTGGGGAGCTAGGGGAACCCAGACTCCAGCTCCTGCCGGGCTGCACCTGGGGATTCATTCTTGCAGTGCCTGTCTCTGAATTAGAGAAAAACAGGCGTTCGTCGGTAGCCAGAGCAGGTTAAGTCCTTAGATACAGGGGCTGGGAGTTGGAAGTCAGCCCAGGGTGTACTGAAGTGGTCTAGCCCTGGAGTGGGGGAGCACAAGAGAGAACTCCGTAGATGGTGAGARGTTCTTAAAGTGTTTTATTAGTTTTGTTTTAGGAAGGGAGCAATCCAGCCATGTTTGTGTTTTAGAATGCTCCCTGGCAGCCAGTGGAGGAGTGAGAGGGTGGAGGCTGGAGGCAGGGAGACCTGGTAGGAGGTCTTGTAAAAGCCCAGTTGAGAGAATATTAAGGTGGAACTGAAACCGGTCAGAGCACAGTGTCCCAAGCCTGTAGTCCCAGCTACTTGTGAGAATGAGACAGGACCATTGTGAGTTTGAGGCCAGCCTTAGTAACATAATGAGACCCTATCTCAAAAAAAAAAAAAAAAAAAAAAAAAGAAAGAAAGAAAGAAAAAAGACATGAGCTGAGGTGGCGGTAGAGGAGCGAGGAGGACATTGCTGTGATTTCATAATACATTTGGATCTGAACCTCCTGGCAGCCAGGGCAGAAAGAAGATAGTGAATTACATGTTTTCCATCAATGAATGGAAGAAAGCAGGCTGGTCCCACCTCTGCTTTGGGGACTAAATACATGAAAAAAGGGACAAAACAGCTTCTGGCACAGGGGAGATGTCACTAAATGCTTTTGATGAATAAGGATTTAATAATGGACAAGGTCTTCAGTGGCAGTGTTTTTACAGCAAGTGAAGAAATAATTGTTACATGGCTGTTTCTTATTTGCACCCTTTGATTAAGTCCCAGGGTATAAATATCACTGACGGAAGGAGAGTCTTCCTGGGACAAGCAACTGTGGTCCCTGTTTGCAGCTTTYGAGGACTCTAGCTTGATATAGGAAGAGAACTTGGTTTTCCTGGAGGACAGAATGAATAGCCTGTCCCTTAACTTGTCCCTCCTGTATATTTCTTCTTGATCCAAGTGTTTGCGTTTGGGTATCCACTTAATTAAGGTTACATCTTTCTGGGTGCCTAGGGCCCATGGAACATCTGTGGCTGGAAGCGGGGTTCTGCCCCCACAAAATTTGGTCAGAAATTCTTATTGTTGTGTAACTGAATCTTTTCTGGTTGGCACATAAAGGAATGTAGTTTGGATCTGTCGGAGGAAGACCTTTGGCCGTTTTGGTTTGGTTTGGTTTGGTTTTTCTTTCCATTTGCTGTTGAAGTCATTGGGCTCTAATGGTCTAGAACTAGAAATACTTAAAATAAATCCATGTCCCTGGATTATAGAAGAGAACAAGTAAGTATGTGTTGTCCTCACACCATCTTCTCCAGAGAGGGGACTCCAGGGCAAGCAGGGATTTGGGGCTTCTCCAAGTGACAGATGAGGCAGGGTTGAGCTGTAAAAAATGCTTCAATTATCCACCAAGAAGGGGGTTGGTGGGGTTGGGGTGCAGCTCAGTGATAGAGAGCTTGCCCAGTGTGCTCAAGCCCTGGGTTCCATCCCAGCACTCCCAAGCACTTTTGTTGATATTTGTGTTTTTACCAGAACGTCTAGATTACCTATTTAACAGATGGCTGCCGACTTCATTAGGAGCAGTTGGTGTAGTAAAAATAACCGTGGAGTTTCAAATTGGGCTTGCCTTTACTTTTTGTCCCCAGGATGAGTTGTTGCCTTATGTATACACTACGAGGTTATTATGAGGACAGTAGATCCGGTAACTGTGGAAATGTTTAGGTTGGAAAGAGAAATTCAGTCACGGGGCCCATTTGTTCATTTTCCAATTCTTGATGGATGTCCTGGCTGGAATGTCCAAAACGGTTGAAGAACAATGAGAAAAATGTGCACAGTGTGTTGCTGATTTGTTTTCTAGTGTCAAGGCCACTTGTTCCCCCCTCGGGAATGGTTGCCATCATTTGGCTGTCACTGGGGCATGGCCACCTCCATCCACCTCTGCGGGGCCCTTTCCCTGCAGGTGTTCATGCGGGCCCTCTTCCACTACGACCCTCGGGAGGACCGGGCCATCCCCTGCCAGGAGGCAGGCCTGCCCTTCCAACGCAGGCAGGTCCTGGAGGTGGTGAGCCAGGACGATCCTACGTGGTGGCAAGCCAAGAGAGTGGGGGACACCAACCTTCGAGCCGGCCTTATCCCCTCCAAGCAGTTCCAGGAGAGGTGGGTCTGGGGTGCTGTCATGGGGTGGTTCTCAAGTGGCCAATGGCCCAGTTACTTGACAAATCCCTAAGTTTCTGCCACCAACGGCCAGAGGGAGCCACTGAATGTTGTTCTTTACGTAAGTATCAATTGCGCTTGCGTCTCTTCTTCTTGTTCCCCGATTAATCGTGTTGGCTGAGATTTAAGTGAATGCATGGATATTTACATTATTAAGCTGATGTATACAGTTGTCCCTCAGTGTCAATGGGGATTGGTTCCAGGTCTGTCTGTGGATGCCCAAATCAGCATATGCTCAAATCCTCATGTGAAATGGTGTAGTACTTGTGTATAACCTCTATCATCCTCCTGAATACTTTAAAGAATCTCTAGATGACTGATAATACTTAACACAGTGGAAATGCCATGTAAATCATTGTTATACTGTATTGTTTAAAGAATAATGACAAGAAGAAAGTCTGTAACGTTCAGTGCAGGCACACCATTTTCAAATATTTTCAGCCGCAGTTGGTTGAGCCCGCAGATGTGGAACCCGCGGGTGCAGTGATCCAGCCGTATTTTACAATACATACWTAGAGAAAGGTTAGAAATAAGATATGAACAGGCAGAAGAGGAGGACTAAGAAAATGATCCCAAATCTCATCACCATATAAACAGTACAATTTATTTCCTTCCTGAGTGTCACATCCAGGATTTGGGGTCTTGCTTTTCTTTTCTTCCTTTATTTTTAATATTTATTTTTTAGTTGTAGTTGAAAATACCTTTATTTTACTTGTTTATTTTTATGTAGTACTGAGAATCGAACGTGCTAGGCAAGCGCTCTACCGCTGAGCCATAACTCCAGCCCTTTTCTTTTCTTTTTTAACTTGATATTTTGACATTAGCATTTCCCATGTTATTACATATTTTTTGTAGTGTGGTTTTTTGATTTAGGAATTTCCTCAGGAGGTATTCATTATGCATTGGGCTGGCCCTGTGCCAGGTGTGGAGGCTGCTGGAARGTATGGCTTCCGTCCTGGTAGAGCTTATGGTGTAGCTGGAAGGTCTCTGTGATGGTGCAGGAGGAGGACGTGTTACTCTGTAAGTTCCTACCAGGAGGTTGCACCCTCACCAGGCCCAGGGCAGACCCTGAGATCTGAATTCTAATAAAAATTCACGTGGTTCTGAGGTGTTAAGGTGTGAGAACTGCCGCTGTGTTTCCTTGGGGGACTCCCAGACCCATCTATGTGTGGCTTCATGGGTCTTGGCAACATGGTCACTGACAGGGAAGGCTTTTGGGTTGCATTTAAATGTGGGCATCCAGACACCTCCAAGAGCCCTGGGCGTTTCCTCAACTCAGATATGGTCTTGGCCGCTGCTTTTCCACWGACAGCCATCTTGGTCAACCCTAGGGCTGAGCTCTGCTCTGGGAGTCTGGGAGTTGTTTTGTTTTTTTCCAGCTTTCTCAGGGATGGGGAGGCTGAGTAAGTGCCCACCTGTAGGACCCAGACCTGGGTTGTCCCAAATTTTCCAGAAGACTCTCATCACCTGCTCTTATAAGTATGTCCCAGCTCATGGACCCCCATCCTCTTGTATCCCTGCAGACGACTAAGTTACCGGAGAGCCACGGGCACCCTGCCAAGTCCCCAGAGCCTCAAGAAGCCCCCCTGTGAGTAGATTGGTAGGGATGACACTTCAGGGAGGGACTGGGGTTAGGAGTTGAGCACTTTGTTCTGGGAAGAAGCTGGCACTGGGATGGAGGGGTCTTATCTGAGCACACAGGGGGATGGAGGGGTCTTATCTGAACAGACAGGACATCGGGCGTCCTGTATGAACTTGTAGACCTCCAGAAGAAGGTGAGGTGGGAGAGGCTTGAGGGAGTAAAATGAGGGTGGGATGGGGGCAGCCATTCCCCAGAAAGGAGCTTCTATATTTGGGATCTATATATGGTATTGAGGGGTATGTTAACAGCTCCTGAAATTGTGTGCCAACCTCTATTGTGTGTGTGTGTTTGGGAGCGGGTCTGTCAGCAGCTTTCATTAGCTTCCCAAGGGGTTCTCTGACTGATGTTTTCAAGAACTGCTGATTTTAGGAGGGAATGGAGGAGGCTCTGAGTGACCCGTGCCTCTGAGAGGGTAACCAGATTTGGCAAATACAAATCAAGCATGATCCGTTGAACTTGAATTTCAGGTAGACAATGAATTGGTTTTTTTCGTGTAGTCTTTGGGGAATACTAAGAAATCATTTGTTATTTATTTGAAGCTCCAGTTTCCCTGGGTATCCTGTGTGTGATCTGACAGCTTTGTTCTGTGTAACACATTACCTTTTAGAAAATATGTCCACTTACCTTCTTGCCTTCTATGTACTTCTATTTTATTTATTTATTTATTTTTGTGGTGCTGAGGATGCACCTTGGGCCTGGTGCATGCTGGGCAAGTGCTCCAGGGCYGAGCCACACCTTTTAACCTTCACAACAGCCCTAGGTTAGGGCTTCATATAGAAGGAGGCTTTTCCAGAATCTGGCTTCTCTGCTGCAGGGGCTGTAATTGAGTGAGGGGCCCGAGCAGGCACCAGCTCTGCTCCACCCCACCCCATCCCCTGGCACCTGTGTTTATTTTTCTCAGGCAGGCCTCCAACCTCAGAAAAGGGAAAGTAGGTCCTAATCCCACTGCAGGACCCCTGAGGAAACCTCTYCATTGGTTACTGCCAGTGGCCACTTTTCTAGATTCACTGTCAGGYGGAAGGCTGCTGGGGAAGTTGGCCTGGAGGCTGCTTCCACCAGCCAYGAGCTGTTTTCCCTGGGCTGTTAATGAGACACACACAGGAAGACTAATTAAAGCAGGTCTTGGGGTTTAATGACACACCACAGCTCAGATCACAGGTTTGTTGGAGGAAAGGAGCAGGAGACAGATGGAGGGCTCCTCAGGCTCCTAAGGCTGTGCTGCCTCTTAGCCGCAGGGCTTCATGGTCCCTTCCACTAATGCTGTCCCATCTGTCTTTTGTGCAAACCGCAGATGATCAGCCTTGTGACAAAGGTAGGCCTGGTMTTTGTCCCCTGTGCACACGAGTGAGGCTCCTTTCCTGTGGAACATCTGGGGCTGGACGGGCTGATTTTCCTTTCCCCATCTGACYGTCTACAGCCAGATGTGTGGGGTGGGGATGGGATTCAAGGCCTCAGGGCCCTTTCCCTCCTACCAACCTGAAGGGGCCATCCTCCCCTGGACTGGGCTCTGTCGTGGGGTGCAGCTRGTAGGAGCCAAGAGAGGAGGGCAGGGYAGTGGGACTGTCCTTCTGCCTTATTCCCACTGGTCCCAACTCAGGACCAGGAAGAGATCTTCTGCCCAGAACTTCTGCTAGAGCTTAGGAAGGCTGTTGGGGCTTAAGCATGGAGAACGCGGTGAARCAGAAGGAATTGTCCCAAATATGGTATTTTTCCTGAGTTCCTCTGGGATCACTCTGGAGGTTTCTGCCTGGCCATCCAAGAATTGGGTCCCTCTGGGCCTGAAGATGTGTCCAGCAYGACTCACTAGCCTCCCTCCCTCTGTTTGGTTCATAGAGACCTGTGACTGTGAGGGGTACTTCAAGGGACACTATGTGGGTGAGTACCTGGGYTCTCCCTCAACACCCCCCTCCCAGCCACTGCACAGCTGTAGCCTCAGGCTTCTGAGTGGGAAAGGCTCAGGCAGAGCACCTGGAGCCCAGGAGCTGGCCAAGAGCAGCCGGCCTGCTGTCAACCAGAAAAGGCGCTGAGCCTGTCCATCCCTGGACTCCCCAACCCAGCTTTTACCCAGCCACTGGGCAAAGAGCCCTGGCTGGAAGGGCACACTGAGCACCATGTTAACACTAATTTTATCATCATTCTAACTGAAGTTTATTCAGTGTGATTGCCACCACCGTATATTCATGGCGTTTTTGTTTTGTTTTGTTTTGTTTTACTGGTCTCCAAAGTACCTTCACTTTTAAAAAATTTTCATCATTGTTTTGAAGGCCTTGGAGACAGGCAAATGTCTTTTAACTTTTATTTTGAAGTGATATCAAATTTACTGAGAAGTGGTAGAAATTGGAGGAAGAGCTCCCATGTCCTCACACGAGRTTCCCAGCTGTGAGCTCACCCTGCCCTTGCTACCTATGCATTTGTCTCCTAAGTCRTGGGAGAGTTAGATGCAGACATGCCTCTTTACCCCTAAGTACCACRGCAATATTTCCTGAGGACGAGGACATCCTCTTATCTAACTCAGGATGATGATCAATTTCTGGAAACTCAACATGCATACAATTCTACTCTATACTCTCATTACAATTTCACCAGTTGTCCCAAAAATATCCTTTAAAGCATTTTCCTGGATCCAGGATCCAATGTAGGACCACCCTTTGCACATTTGCATTGCCATTTCATGGATTAGGGAATCAAGACTCAGAGAGACGCAGAAATTTGCCGAAGGTCAGTTACATGCCAAGCAAAATAGTGACCTTGAACCCTAYTCGGATGTTGGGGGCCATCCTTTCATTATATCACTTTGCTCTCTGAACAGCCTCTTTCTAAACAGGAGGGTGGGGAGGTCAGTGGGGTCAGCCCTTCTGCCTGGTCTGGCTAGGTGAAGAAGGTCTTTGCTGGGAGATCCTGGGACAGATGCCTCCATGTCTCTTTGATCCTCTCTAAGCTGGTCTCCGGAGGAGCTTCCGGCTAGGCTGCAGGGAGAGGCTGAGTGGCTCACAGGAAGGGAAGATGTGCGCCAGCGCTGAGTCCCCAGAGTTGCTGACCTACGAGGAGGTGGCCAGGTACCAACAGCAGCCCGGTGAGCGGCCCCGCCTSGTGGTTCTGATTGGTAGGTGACATCCTGGGTTTCTGGGAAGTGGGCTGGTTTCCTCGCCAGAGGCRTGAGGAGAAAGCTCAACTGGGACCCTGTCAGTCTTCCCTCTGTTTCCCAGGGTCTCTCGGAGCCCGACTCCATGAGCTGAAGCAAAAGGTGGTGGCTGAGAACCCACAGCGCTTTGGTGTTGCTGTTCCACGTAAGAAGGCTGGTGTGCGTGCTTGGGTGCCTGCACAGGATTATTTCATGGGGACTTGATTCCTCATGTTTATCTTATTTCTTTTAATACTTTGGGTGTGAGGGACCACCAGGCACCCCTTGCCGTGGCATATAGGCTTGATGGGAAGAGACTTGTCTCTCAGTGGCGCGCTGAGACGCTGTCAGGTAGAAGCTTGGGGGGCCACCTGCTTGCTTCCCACGAGGGGAGGGAGGTGAGTCCAGAGCACACTGTAGACAGCGGTGGCCTCCACCTGACACCCAGGGGATCCCCACAGTCGGGGGTCTTCCAGCCTCCTCTTCCCTGTGACTCTGACTCCTATGGCCGCTGTCCTGCTTAGATAAGAGAGCAGGCCAGAGAAGCACAGAGAAGTATTGCTTAGCACTCCCTTGTAGCTGGATTCTAGCCTGTCAGGGTTGGGGGTTCACTCCTGTGTAATGCCACCCCTTCCAAGTCCTTGGGCTTCCTGCTGCTATAAGCAGCRTGGATACAAAGACCCCTGGGCCACCATCCTGGTCCTGAATGTGATGAGGATAATGACGAGGAGGAGGACGAGCAGGAGGACAGAAGTGCCATGTTCTTCACCAAGAGTTTTGTGTGCAGAACCTTGGTTTGCCTTCCTGGTACCTCTGAGAAACCCATTCTGCAGAGGAGGACATTGAGGCTCCATGAGGTTAACTAACTTGCCCAGTGTCACCCAGTTGATAAGTGGAGCCAAGATTGGACCAGGCAGCCTGCCCGCACCATGTGCTTAAGAGCGGCACAGAGGCTTTTTTCTTCGCTGCTGCCTGCTACATCCTGCCCTTGGCTGTGGCTCGCCTCTTGGGACACTTATGCAGTGTGGATGCCTGGTGGCTACCAAGAGGGGATGCTATGGCATCAGGAATAGAACTTTCCAGAATGCCTACCAGAGCCTTTCTTTGACTCTACTGCTCTCCATGGAGTGTCGGGGCCCACAGCTTACCCTAGAGGCTGTTGGAATTGTCTCAGTTCCAAACTGAAGTGGCAGGGATGTAGGGGAGCTGGTTGGGCTGTGGAGGCCATTCTGGCATCACAGCTGTGATGGGCCTAGGTGACTTCAGGGGCCTTCAAGATTGTCCTCGCTTGGTTTTAGGAACTAGAGGGTCAGGGATCGTTTGCCAGAGACAGTGACTTTTATGCTAGGTGTTAAAGAGTAAATAGGAATTTTCCAGGCAAAGAAGAGCTTACTGTGCAGAGGGGCCGTGTGCAAAGGGATATAGGTGTGACCTGGGGTAACCGCGCTGGGGACTGGGTTATTAGTATGGATGACATGGCAGGAGGCGAAGCTGAGTCGGAGGCTGGGCAGTCATGAGGRTCTTATGTGCTGTTGAGGTGTTGAAAATCTAGTCTGTGGGTGAATAAAAGTTTTTAATCAAGGGAATGACCTGGAGAAATGACCCACTAGCTCTCCTAGTCCCCGGGCTGGACTAGGTTGCCACATGGAGAACACAGAGCATCCCATGTGYGCCCCAAGGCCAAAAAWCCCTTGTCCTCTTAAGTKCCCATGTTTTCTTTTAGAAAAAGCYGYGTGTTGCCTCATGGTTGCCCTTGCTTTGAAAGGACCTGATTGTCCCCAGAAGTGTGCATCATTATGGAAATGGATGGGGGAGCCCTTGGGTTAAAAGTATTTCTTTGAGATCCAGCCCTGCTGAAACACAGCCAATCCATAATGGGCTGTCTGTCTTCATGCCTCCTTTTCTCTCAAAAAGAGAAATAAGTGAATAAAGAATTAAAAGCACAGAACAGGGTCCAATGTATTTGTGGCACTCTTGCTCTCAGAAAAAGAAAAATAATAATGACCTAAAAACTAGGGTCCTTAGCTGAGCGCAGTGGTGCGCGGCTGCAATCTCAGCAGCTCGGGAGGCTGAGGCAGGAGGATCACGAGTTCAAAGCCAGCCTTAGCAATAGCGAGGTGCTGAGCAACTCAGTGAGACCCTGTTTCTAAATAAAACTCAAAAATAGAGCTGAGAATGTGACTCAGTGGTTGAGTATCCCTGAGTTCAATCCCTGGTACCCCCCCTCCCCCCAAAAAAACTAGGGTCCTTAAAAGCCCCACATCAATGAAGGCAGTTCAGCAGACGGGCAAAGGGCGTGGCCCTGGCTCTACAGCCTATTGGCTGTGGGTCACTGAGCTGTGCTTAACTTCCCTGAACCTCAGTTTCCCCAGTTGTAAAATGAGAGGCTCCTTTTGCCTACACTGAAGAGTTGTGTGGATAAGTCTGGAAAAGGCACAATACCTGATCCCCAGGACACTCGACGAATGCCCCCCGAGCGAGGGCACAGGTTGATGCTATTCTCATTCATCGTGATGTGCCATCTCTTTGCCCAGCTCTCCTTTTTTTTTTTTTTTTTTAAAGATACCACCAGACCCAGAAAGAGCCACGAGAAGGAAGGGGTGGAGTATCACTTTGTGTCTAAACAAGCATTTGAGGCCGACTTACATCACAGCAAGTATGTTGCTTGGTGGGCCAGTTAGCCCTCGGGCAGCTTGACCTCTAGGAGGGCTTCCAGAAGGGGCAGGGGAAGTGGGAGAGAAGCTGTGTTGGGAAGTCCACTTTTTTTTTTTTTAACTACTTTGAGAAAGCTCAGGACCTAAAGTTCTTTTCCCCTGTGCTGGTGCTTTAGGTTCCTGGAGCATGGTGAATATAAGGAAAACCTCTATGGGACCAGCCTGGAGGCCATCCGGGCTGTCATGGCCAGAAACAAAGTTTGTTTGGTGGATGTGGAACCGGAAGTGAGTTCCTGGGCCGGCGGGGGCGTGTCTGGTGAATGGAATTTATAACCTGGAGGATTGTAGCTACAGAATGTTTGCCCTCTGTCTAAGGAATTCTTAGTCTGAAAGTATGAAATATCAGATGTTAAATGTCCTTGGGTCTCTCTTTGAGAATAGAATGAAAACGTTGAACCCCCAAACATGTATCTCTCTCTACAAATATTGCATTAATTGGGGGGAGCTCATAGACCCTTTGGTGGTCCACAGACCTAAGATTTTCTCCTGCTTGGAGAAAATCACATAAAAAAAAAAAAAAAAAAAAAAAAACTAGTGGCACCAGCCGGGCGCAGTGGCGCATGCCTGAAATCCCAGTAGCTCTGGAGGCCAAGGCAAGAGAATCAATCATGAGTTCAAAGCCAGAATTTGCAACTTAGCGAGAGGCATTAAGCAACTCGGGGAGATCCTTCTCTAAATAAAATATAAAAAAGGACTGGGGATGTGGTTCAGTGGTTAAGTGCCCCCGGGTTCAATCCTCAGTACCAAAAACCAAAAAACAAGAAAAACAGTCACACCCCCTGACCAGTTGCAGCATGACAGAGAATTAGATGTAAGTCCCCAGGCAAAGCTGGGGCTGAGCTCTGTGCCAGGCAGTCCTCCCCCAACCAGGACAAGTGAAATCAGTGGCATAGGGAACCCCTGGGGGAGACAATGGGTGAGGCAGTCTGGAGAGCAGTTTGAAAGGGAAAAAGAGGGAGGGAGAAGTGACCCTGTGCGAGCTTCAAAGCCATTTCCAGTTCTGCACACCCAGCAAGCTGCGGGCTCCACAGGGGCCTGGCCATCTTTTTAACCTTGTCTTTCAGAAAAACTTCCAAGCTTTGAACTCATATGAGGAATTTTTTTTTCCTTTATAGAAACAGATCTTTGATTTTATGATATAAACTGTAAGCTTTATTTTACAGACGTTGACTTGAAACATTTCAAAAAGCACATTTTGCCTATAAGGGAAAAGCCTCACTCATTTGGACTTACTGGGAGTTGGTGATTAAAATTCAAAGTCTCAATTTCAAAAGTTTTTTTAAAAAAAGTGATTTTATTGATCTTTGCATGTGCAGATAGGGCATGTAGCAGTTTAATACCAGTGTTTTTTGAATAGAGGTTCTGAGAGTGTAAATACTCATTAACTGTATGTATGATTTGCATATGGAAAACCCTAAAGTCTGCAAGTTCTTTCCAAGTAATCCCTTAGGTCATGTTTTCATTTGCTTTGCAAATCTTTTCTTTGACTCTCAGAAGGAGGCATGTGTGATAGCACAGTTTGCACGAATGTAGACAAATTGATGATGTTAGACAAAATAAATGCACATTGAATCCTGCTCCCTGGACTGTCAGGAATGGGCAGGTGGAGAGAGCCTGGGAAGGTTAATTGGAGCTAGAGGGATCTGAGCTGAAAAAGTCAGTGACTCTGAACTGAGGCTTTGGACATTCTTCAGGGAATGACTGAGTTCAGTGTCAAGTAGAGGATGAATAAGTGTGCAGCTAGTCTGCCCGTGAAGTCCATTGTCACCAGGACCTTTGCTGTTGAGGTTATGCGAGGGGCGTACCCGAGAATTGAGCTTTCAGAAAGGATGTTTCACAATAGAATATTTCAAAGGTGTGTAATTTTCCTGAACTTTCTTTTTCCAGGCACTGAAACAGCTGAGAACCTCAGAGTTCAAACCCTATATTATATTTGTAAAGCCTGCAATTCAGGAAAAAAGGAAGACACCACCTATGTCCCCAGCTTGTGAGGACACAGCAGCCCCACTTGTAAGTTTCAAGCTAATCCTTTCCTTTATGAAGGCTTAAAGGGGACGATTCTGGGGAATGTTTCTAGCTGCAGAAGGGTTCTTTCAGTGGAAGAGGGACAAAGGACATACCTTCTGCACGAGACCACTTTTCCATTTTGCCTATTGTCAAGACTAAGACAAGATGGTCACTTGGCCAGAGAGCTTGAGGTGAGATAGCTAGAAGTGCCTCCCAATCCAGGCAGGGTGGCCTTGCCTAGGCTCACCACCCCCACTCGCCCACATACGCAACCCCCCCCCCAGTAAGGGATTGACATCTGTCAGAGATCTGATCTGAGTGTGACAAACCACACTCATCTGTTGAACTCTTCAGCCAAACCCAAGTATTTTTTAAGTTGAATCACCAACTAACAAGGTCATTATCATTCATTTCAAAGTAGTTTGAAACAGGACTGTGTCCCTGTAGTATGCTGTTTTTAAGTCCTTTAGGTATAGACCAAGGAGTGGGATAGCTGGGTCAGATGGTGGTGCCATTCCCAGTTTTCCAAGGAATCTCCATTCGGCTTTCCATATGGGCTGCACCAACTTGCAGACCCACCAGCAATAGAAACATTTGATAACTGTCATTTGACTGTAAATTGTCAAATGAAAACTCTGACCCCCTCCCCGCCAAAATACCAAACATTTCCTATCCTCAGGAAACTCTTAATCTACTTTCTGTTGCTATAGATTTACCTTTTCTAAATATTTCATACAGATGGCATCATATATGTGGCCTTTTTTTGGTTGTTGTTGTTCTAATTAGTTATACATGACAGCAGAATGCATTTCAACTCATTGTACACAAATGGAGCACAACTTTTCATTTCTCTGGCTGTACACGATGTAGAGTCACACCAGTCATGCAGTCACACATGTACATAGGGTAATAATATCCATCTCATTCCATCATCCCTTCCCACCCCCAAACCCCCTCCCTTCATTCCGCCATCTTTCCCATCCCCAAACCCCCTTCCTTCCCCTCACTCCCCTCTGCCCAATCCAAAGTTTTTTGGCCTTTTTTATCTGACTTCTTTTACTTAGTATATTTGTAAGTTCCATTCATATGTAAGTACCACATTCTTTTTTATTATTGAATAATATTCCATCATAAATAGTACTATATCTTGTTTCTTTGTTCATCAACTCATGGACATTGGATTGTTCTGTTTTCTGTTATCATGAATTATGTTGCTATGAACATTCATTTTATGTGAACATATGTTTTTATTTCTCTTGGGGATAGACATGAGAGTGGAATTGCTGGTAATTGCTGTTTAACATTTGAAGGAATTCCAGTCTTCCATAGCAGCCGTACCATTTTACCTTCCCACCAGCAGTATTCAAGGGTTCCACATTTCCCACATCCTCTCCAGTGTCTTTTTGATTACAGCCATCATAAGTGGGTATGAACTGGTATCACACTGTGGTTTTAATTGATATTTCTCCAGTGGCAAATGACATGGAGCATCTTTTCATGTGTGTATTGGCCATTTGTGTATCCTCTTGGGAGAAATGTCTTTACATATATTTTGCCCATTTAAAATTAGATTACTGGGGCTGGGGCTGGGGCTCAGCGGTAGTGCACTTACCTGGCATATGTGAGGTACTGGGTTCGATTCTCAGCACCACGTATAAATAAATAAAAATAAAGGTCTATCGACAACATATCTACCTATCTATCTATCTATATGAAATCAAATTACTGATATTTTTGTTATTGTGTTGAAAGCATTCTATGTTCTGGGTATAAGTCCCTTATTGGATGTATGATTTGAAAACATTTTCTCACATTCTGTGGGTTGTCTTTTCACTTTCTTGATAGTGCCATTTCTGAAGCTCAACATTAATTTTTTTTTTTTTTTTTTTTTTTTTTTTGGTACTGGGGATTGAACCCAGAAGAGCTTTACCACTGACCCAGCTACATCCAGAGCCTCCTCCAGTTGTTGAGGCTGGCCTTGAACTTGCAATTCTCCCATCTCAGCCTTCCTAATTGCTGAGATTACAGGCATGTACCACTGCATTTGGCATTAAAATTTTTGAATTTAATGCTTTTTCTTTTGTCTTTTCAGTTTTTGGTGTCATATCTAAGAAACCATGGCCTAATCCAAGGTCATAAAGTTTTGCTCCTTTTTTAAAAAAAATAGTTAATAGTTTTAACATTTGAAACTATCATTCATTTTGATTTAATTTATGTAGATGACATGAGGTAGGGCGTCTAATTTTATTCTTTGTATGTGGATATAGTTTTCTCAGCACCATTTTTAAAAATTTGATTATCTTGGCACCCTGTTGATCAAAAAAGTAAGGATTTATTTCTGGACTCTCAATTCTATTTCACTGATCTAGCTTTATGGCAAGATCACATTGTCTTGATTACTGTAGCTTTGTAGTAAGTTCTGAAAACAACAAGTTTGAGTCTTTTGACTTTTTTTTATTTTTCAAGATCATTTTGGCTCTTCTGGGTCCCTTGTGTTTTCATATAAATTTTAGGATCAACTTACAAATTTATTTTTACTTTTTTTAATAATAAATATTTTAGAATTATTAGAATTTAATGACCATGGGGAAAAGCTTATTTAAAAGAGAATTAAAAAGGCATAAAGGGGAATAAGAATCATCTCCTTAAGATACAAAGGAAGGTCTGCCAAACCATAAGGTCTTCAGAAGTTCCTGCTTTTTAAAAAAATTTTTGGTACTGGGGATTGAACTCAGGGGCACTCAGCCACTGAGCCACTCCCCAGCCCTATGTTGTATTTTATTTAGAGACAGGGTCTCACTGAGTTACTGAGTTGCTCAGTGCCTCACCTTTGCCGAGGCTGGCTTTGAACTCGCAATCCTCCTGTCTCAGCCTTCTGAGCCACTGGCATTACAGGAATGCGCTACCATGCCTGGCAGTGCCTGTTTTTTAGGAGCCAGAGCGCCTTGACCCATGGATGGCATTGGAGGGGACTGCAGTCTTTTACTGGTGTCCTTCTGGCCTGACCAATTTTGCCATCTAGTCCATCTCCTTTAGTGCTCACCATCAAACTGCTCTAGGCGACTGGCTGATGTTTTTTGTTGTCTCTGGGTCATTTTAATTGTGAAATCCCACTTTGCTTCTCTCCAGCTGTGTCCCACTGTCCTGAAGCCATAGTCATTTTCAACATGAATAGACACCAAGGTCATAGCAAGACTGTTCAAATACAGCATGCCCAGCTCTGCTCCCAGAGACTGGTGTGGGGCTCAGTGTCCACATTTTTTTAACACACATACTTTCAGATGATTTTAATGTATGTAGGCAAACACCAGACCACGTTTGAAAAAAAAGTCTTATATAAGGCCTGAGGGTTTTTGTTGTTGTTGTTGTTGTTTTAACACTAAATATTTGTCCACTGTCTGGCCCTTGAGTTTCAACTAGGGGGGATCCATAGAAGAACCTATGGCCATATCCTTTGTCCATTTCTTTGCTATCCCACAAATTGATGGGGCTGCTACCTTCTGATCCATTATGTGGATCCAAAATGGGGACAAGGGATATGGCATGGGGTGGGGACTGAGACTCTTAGTGAAATCACAGAGATGAGTTCCACTTTTACTGGCCAGGAGAAAGGTGCAGGAGATTTATTATGGATGCAAAGGAAATATTATGCATTTCACTCTCTTAGACATTTACTTGAGTTCTTGAGATGCAAATATTTATTAAGAAGATTTGGGGACTTGTGGCAAAAATTTTCCTTCTGTAATTTCTCAAAAGTCTAAAAGCTTCCAGATGAACCATGTGGGCACCTGCAGGAAGGTAGACTCCGAAAGCAGCAGACGGGGCTGTGGGGCGTGTGTGGAGCTGGGTGGGGACAGTGGGACTAAAGATGTAGAGGCCAAATGGGGACACTGCAGAGTGCTTCTGAGTATGAGGGCAGCCCAGAAAGATAGACTGTAGAAAGATGAAGTACCTCCCAACTGAAGCCAGGTTTTCTTCTCCTGGGGGAAAGAAGAAGCTCTCTTTCAACCTTCTCTTGGGTCTCTACTGTCTGTGGGAGCGCGCAGACACTGTTTCCTGGGCCTTTAGAACACATCTCCTGAGATGGTAGATGCTCTCATGAAAGTAAAAATTGGTGACAAGGGAGAAGAGGAGGGAATATTTTGAAAGTGTGTCTCTATAGGGATGGGGAGGATAGAATTCCCTCTTTCTGCATGGATGCATGAAAAGCCTGAGCCCCTGGAGGCAGAATGAGCAACAGAGGACTGCGAAGGGACATCAGGGGAGGGAGGTTGTAATTTTTCTTAGAGTAGATTGGCCACTCTCCTTTCTTCCATAAACCAGGCTGTTAGTCAGCTACATTCCTGAAATTCTACTTCGTAGTGATTCTTTTGAATGAAGAAGAGAAGACTTCTCAGGTCGGATAATATTAGGTTTTTGTCTACACCTTTGATGTTAGGTGTTAGGAAAGCAATCTGATTAAAGAAATCGGGTTGCCTAAGGAGATGGAGAGTGGTCAGAGTTGTCCCAGCCCTTTCTTAAACCATTCTACCTTGTCTGCTCTGCTGTTTGGCCTTGGCATGAAGAGATGAAAAGAAGAATCAAGGCTGGGGGAGGTGGTGGCACACGCCAGTAATCCCAGCGATTTAGGAGGCTAAGGCAGGAGAATTGCAAGTTCAAAGCCAGCCTTAGCAACTTAGGGAGACCTTGTCTCTAAATAAAATATAAAAAGGGCTGGGGATGTGGTTCAGTGGTTAAGCGCCCTTGGGCTCAATCCCTGGTACAAAAAAAAAAAAAAATCAAGTTCTACATGGTTATTTTAAGAATCTTTAGAGTGATATTAGAGTTACACATTCTTTATCTTCTCCCCGCCCCCATCATTTCCTGAAGTGCTTTCTTTGTTTTTATACAGTTAAAATTATTTGTAATTCTTGCCATTATTTAACCTGTGTATTTCTTTGCGACCCCATGATACTACTTCTTGGGAAACGCTGTTGGGGCAGCAATTATATATGGACATATATACAAAGATACAAACTCAACGTTCCCCCAAAGAAGTTTGTATTTTCAGCTTATAGATCCTCAGTGGGTGTTTTGGGAGAGAATGACTGAACAATGTCTGCTGTCCACTAACTTGCTTTGAACTTTGATCTGTTGTCACTACACTCCCGCTATTAACCAACTACTACGCAGTTGGTTAATAGCGGGACATCGTCATCCACTCATCCCTTAAAAATTAAAGGTGGGGACAACTGCTGAACACAAAGGCTATATATAGGTTTCTTGTGGGGGGAAAAAGCCAAGGTTCTCCGTACTGCCTCTTTCCTGCAGGATGAGGAGCAGCAAGAGATGGCCGCCTCTGCCGCCTTCATTGACCAGCATTACGGGCACCTGATGGACACTGTGTTGGTGAAGGAAGACCTGCAGGGTGCTTACAGCCAGCTCAAGGTGGTCTTAGAGAAGCTGAGCAAGGACACTCACTGGGTACCTGTTAGTTGGGTCAGGTAACTTTATCCCAGAACATCTAGGCTGGAGGGGACCTTGAAGACCATGTAGTCCAGCCTCCCTCACCTTACCATCCAGAAACCTCAAGTTCAGAGAGGGGCAGAATTTTCCACAAACTCCATCATCGAGAAAAGTAGAAATGGGAAGTCTTGTCTGTTGTTGACTTTTGTCTGTCATTTTTTACTTGCACCCCTTTAGCTCATGAGTTAAAAAGGGGCATGTCACAAAACCACACTTCATTCATTAAAGTATCCCAGGCAAGTGGACCTTGATTCTTTGTACCAAAGTTAAGTCGCCACTGTCTTATAGTGGTGGTGGTGGTGGTGGTGAATTTATAGAGTACTGATTCGCAGCAATGTTTAAGCTTTATGAACAGTGAAACTGCATTTATCCAGCTGGTGTTGGAAGCTAAGATGTATCCAAGGGGATTTTTCATGCAGCTGAAGTTCCCCTGTCTTCCAGCTCCAAACTTGCCTGGTAATAGAAAAATTGAATTCTTTTCTGGAAGGCTGAGGCACACTTAATGGTCCACATGACTCACTGAACTATTCTATAAAGCAGTAGTGCCTTTAGGGACTCTTGAGGAATGTAAGGCTGCTTGTCCCCTTTCTGAATACCCTCATGCTCCTAAAACTGAGTCCTTGCTTTGTTACTTGGTCTATTGCATCAGTTCTCCCTCTTGTTATCGACAATGGCCTTGGTTAGTGTCCTCAGCTTCAGGTCATTGGGGCTCCTGTTCTAAATCATAGGGAACCGGATGACCCCCCGCCCCCATCAAAACTATGTCTAAGCCATGATAAATCAGTTCTGCCAAAATAAAAGTATATAGACTCAGAACATGGGCCTGATGGGTTGTCTCTGAGCAAAAGTGACTAATGTCACGCAGCTTTGTGATCCATTTTAGCTGCTCAGAGGAACAGCCGATGAATGTGTTTTTTTCTGTGTTGAGTGCAATGCTAAGACCTTTACATACACAACTTTCACAAATACATCAAGCCAGTGAGGCGGGATTCTTATCATTTCAGTTTATAATTAAGATAAAATGAGGCTTAGAAAGCTTAGCTGGCACGGTGGCGCATGCCTGTAATCCCAATGACTCGGGAGGCTGAGGCAGGAGGACTGAGAGTTCAAAGCAGCCTCAGCAACTTAGCCAGACCCTCTTTCTAAATAAAATACAAAAAGGGCTGGGAATGTGGGGATGTGGCTCAGTAGTTAAGCACACCTGGGTTCAGCCCTTGAACCAAAAAAAAAAAAAGAAAAAGAAAAAGAAAGAAAGTTTAAATAATGTACCCAAGCATACACATATACATTTAAAAAAAATGGCATAGCTGTTATATTTGAGCCTAAATATTCCTAATGCCAGAGATGGTTCTTTTTTTCTTTACTTTTGGTACCGGGCATTGAACCCAGAGTCGCTTAACCAGTGAGCCATATCCCTAACCCCCCTCTTTTATATATATATATATGTTTATTTTTTAGTTGTAAGTGGATATCTTCATTTTATTTTAATGTGGTGCTGAGGATCGAACCCAGTACCTCACATGTGCTAGGCGAGCGCTCTACCACTGAGCCACAGCCATAGCCCCCAACCCCTTTTTAAAAAAATTTTTTTTAGCTGAGTGCAGTGGCACACATCTGTAATCCCAGCAGCTCAGGAGGCTGAGATAGGAGGATCCCTAGTTCAAAGCCGACCTTAGCAATGGTGAGGTGCTAAGCAACTCAGTGAGACCCTGTCTCTATATAAAATACAAAATAGGACTGGGGATGTGGCTCCGTGGTCAAGTGCCACTGAATTCAATCCCTGGTACCCCCTCCTCAAAAAATTTTTTTAGTTATTAATGCACCTTATTTTATTCATTTATTTATATGCAGTGCTGAGAATAGAACCCAGTGCCTCACACATATGAGGCAAGCGCTCTACCCCTGAGCCACAACCCCAGCCCTCCCAGCTCTTTTTAATATTTTATTTAGAAACAGAGTCTCACTGAGTTGCTTAGGGCCTCACTAAGTTGCTGAGGCTGGCTTTTAACTTGGTGATCCTCCTGCCTCAGCCTCCCAAGCCATTGGGATTACAGGCGTGTGCCGCTGCACCCAGCAAGAGAGACATGGTTCTTAACCACTATGTAATACTGCCTCACTCTTTTGTGGCTCCATACTCAAAGCTACCCATTAAATAACTGATTTACAAGGGAAGTGTGTTCATAGCTGGAGTTAGCAATAGTATGTAACATATCTGTAGCTTCTAAGACTGCAAAGAGGTTGCTTACACATGTCTACATTTTCAGGCTCTCTTTTTACCCAATTCTGAGATGAAATGTACTCATGAAGAGATAAAGGAGACCAGGTCACAGGTGAAGCACCAGAGAGAGGGTCTGCTGCCCATTTAGAAATTTCTATTTTACCTTCTTGTACAAGGACTCTGTGTAACTCTCTAGCTCACTACCTTGGCAGGCCCAACTACCAGGATCATATTCTTCAGAACTTTCTAACAAAAGGTTGGAGACCTCCTTTTGCTTACAGAGTATTGGATTCTTATCAAGGGAAATTGGTCTTGAGTTATTCCACAGAGAACCAGGCCAGGAAAAGTCGCTGCCCCATGAAGGGTAGGTGGTAAGTGCAAAGTTGTTAGGCAGGAGACTGATATCTGATGTCTACTTCCAGATTGGCATGGTGGCTCATGGCTATAATCCCATCAATTTTGGAAGCTGAGGTAGGAGGATTGCAAGTTCAAGTTCAAGGTCAGCCTCAGCAATTTAGCAAGAGCCAGTCTCAAAATTAAAAAAGAAAAAGTAGAGGTGGGGGGAGCTGGGGATGTGGCTCAGTGGCACAGCATCCCCAGGTTCAACCCCTAGTACCCTTGTCCCCGCCCCTCCCCCCAAAAAGTCTACTCCCAGGCAAAAATACTTAGGTAAAAATAACTTTTGAATACCTGTAGGGAGGGCACCATAGTGGAGACCCTATGAAGTCTCACCTGGGTGATTTGTCTTCCAGGGTTGGCATACAATGATTGGGCACCAGATAATGATGTTTTCTGCATTTCATACTACTCAACAGACATTATTTGCTTCTTACTCCATCTTTTTACCCAATTCTGAGATGAAATGTACTCAATCTCTTTACATGTATTATAAGCAAGGTGTTAAAATGAGCTTGCCTTATTTCCTGTCAAGGTAACCTTCCTACCCCCAAGACAAGCTGGTCTACAGCTGTTTGTCTGCACCAGATCTGTGGGAGTAGAAAGAATAGGGCCTCCAGGACAGAGGTCATTTAGAAGGCACGTTTTTTGCAGTCTGTAAAAAGCAGAAAAGTGTTTTTTTTTTTTAATGCACCTATTTAAAATATATACTGGTGTGATATATGTAAATGCAATTCCAAATTCTATTCCAACTAGCAGTATGTAAGTTCTGAGCCCTGAGGGGAAATGTTTGCAGAAGTTCATTGCTGATTCAAACCTCATTGAAACCCCTCAAGATGTACCTTTTGTTTTCTTGGGCCTTTAAACACAGGTAAGTCCTCTTCCTGTTTCTAGAGCCAGAGGGATTGTGAACTCTGGAGGAATTTTCTAGGTCAGGGATGTTAAATGAGTGGCATATGGGTTGCCACTCGTTCCTGCACCTGTAGCAGGCGTTACTCATTGATCACAGCACTCTCCTGTCAAATCTAGGCACTGCCTTTGGATCTTTCAGGATAGTGTTCAGTATCAATTGAGCAGAGTTAGCAAGTGAGTTAATGTTGCTGCCAACCTTGATCCAGTGATGAGTAGCCTTTCCTCCACCCACTCCACTCCCTGCAGGAAGTGGGTTTAAGAAAGTTACAACCATCTGTCATTCACACATGGTGCTCAGATGGGAGCACATTTGCCAATGGTGCTTTTGCCACTGTATGTTCAAATACACACATGCTTTAAAGCATATGGACAATCGCGTTGCATCTACTTATTTGGTGTCACTTCATCTATACCACCAATCACAGTATCATACATCCAGACAATGATAGATCTTGCTGATTTATTTAATAATTTAAGATTTCAACATATGCATAAAGCTCATTTTAAAATCAGTTAGGCTGGGTGTGGTGGTGCACGCCTATAAATCCCAGAGATTAGGGAGGCTGAGGAAGGAGGATCACAAATTCGAGGCCAGCCTCAGCAACTTAAAGAGGCCCTAAGCAACTTAGTAAGACCCTGTCTCAAAATAAAAAATAAGGGCTGGGGTTGTGACTCAGTGGCAGTGCGCTTGCCTCGCACATGTGAGGCACTAGGTTCGATCCTCAGCACTATATAAAAATAAATAAACAAAATAAAGACATTGCATCCATATATAACTAAAAATATTTATAAAAAATAAAAAGCACCGAGGATGTGGCTCAGTGGTTAAGCACCCCTGGGTTCAATCCCTGGTACCAAAAAAAAAAAAAAAAAATGCAATTGGAACTGTGCAAAGGGAAACTATGGAGGCTTGAAAGAAGTACCACACATTTATTAAATTCTGAAAACAAGAACAATCAATCTTTCTTTTTCCCCCCTTGTGCTGGACATTGAACCCAGGGCCTCACACATGCCAGGCAAGTGCTCTGCTACTGACTATATCCCCATCAATCTGGAGTCCTGCATTTGGTGTAATTATCTTTTTAGGATGAAGGGGAATAAAGATGTTATTGGAAGAAGGTAAACACAATTTGTGGAGACCTTCCTTAAAGGTAATTCTCCAAACAAGGTAACAGAGGAAGGCGGGGACCCTCAGAAAGGAAAAAACGACAAAACAGAAGAAAATAGAACACTATCATTCACCTCATGAGTTTCTTTATTTTATGGTTGAAGCAAAAGTGATATCATCTTCTGATATAGTACTCATACTTTATCCACAAGATACTGTAGTACTCAGAATCTTGTGGAGAAATTCAGATAATTATATTTTAAAAATGAGGAGGGGACTGGGGCCGTGGCTCAGTGGTGGAGCACTTGCCTAGCATGCATAAGGCACTGGGTTCGATCCCGAGCACCACATAAAATAAAACTAAATAAACAAAATAAAGATATTGGGTCCATCTACAACTAAAAATTTTTTTTTAAAAAAAGTGAGGAGGTATTTTGGTTTAGATGTGTCCTCTGGAAGCTCATGTGTGAGAGAATGCAAACATGTTCAGAAGCACAATGATTAGATTATGAGGGCTTTAACCTAATTAGTGGATTAATCCATTGATATGGATTAACTGGGTGGTAATTGCAGGCAGGTAGGGTATAGCTGGAGGAAGTATGTCAC